CAGGCCGCCGAAGGGCTCTTTCCGCACAAAGCTCCTTCCTACATGGAGCGACACCAGCTTGGGGCATGACGACGCGAAGTTACTGAGAAAGGTGTCATTGAGCATCTCAACACTGTTGTCACTGAGATGCAGGTGGGTGAGGTTGGGGAAGCGTGTGACGGCGGCTGAGAGATCTTCGCGGGACACAAGGAGGTCTTCTAAAAAGCGTCGTAACAGGAAGCTTCTCTAAATGACGCCAGCGACGGGAAGACAGGAACAGGAAGCTCCTATATCAATATTCTGTGTAACCCTCCTGGAGTCATTCAGGGAAACTCGTCTGGTCGCACAGAATATTGATATAGGACAGGGGGACTCTCGAGTGCACATCCATCCGGGTACACTACTGCGGTCTCATATTCCCATCCAAGTCAAAATGGCTAGGCACCGCATCCCACGTATTTTCAGCAGGCTTGTAATTCAGCAGGAACTCGTCGTTCAACGATGACTGTCGTCGTACCCAAGAAACATTTGCTCGCGACGAGAGTTTCCTTGGGCGTTATCGTTAAGCTAGAGCGATATGCGGGTCATTGCTGCTTACAATGTCGAAGAGACAGATGTCATAAAGCATCGGCGTCTGTAGTAACGCATCAGCTACGCCACTAGCGGCATGGAAGCAGAGGGATTACCGTCGATCAGGTTCAACCAATGTCACATCGTACCTTGAGGCCGCGCCCAGCTTTTCGCAGGCAGCAGAAGAGGTCGCTTTCGAATCTTTGAATGCCAAATCCCAAACCTCGATTCGTTTTCACACAACTCGGTCTTCTTCTCCCGCTTCGACGGTGCCTTGATTCCGCACTTGCTGGGTCGCAATCCACCTGGCTGCGGGTGGGACCAATGTCGATGATGGGAATCCGCATTGTCGACGATGAGATCCCCGCCTGTATTTCGCTCACCAACCCACGTCGTCGGTCGCTGGCCTTCTCCTGACGATCGCTGTTGCCTTGAGGCAAATCGCCATTCGCGTGAGTCGGATGGTGGTACGCTGACGATCGGCTGCATGCGCGGGAGTTCTTTGCGGCGTATTTCATATGAGGCGACCCGCAGCATGGGGAGGCCGCGAAGCCATGCTTCGATTCCCTTGGGGACGGTGAATGGGAGGGTTGCACGGACGCGGTGACGCTGATGGTGATGGTACGCTGCAGCTTTTCGTGTTTCACCACCCCCTGCATGGCGTAACAGCAGCAAACCGTTTCGTTGCTAGTGCTTAAATGAGGGCTGTCTGCCACAGTTGTGACAGATGGGATGACACGTGAAACGTGGGAAGAATTGGACAGGTGTAGGTGGATACGCTGGTAAAGGTAGATGGCACCTGGGAAAACCTGTTACTGCATCGTATTGGCTCCCATGTCCCCAATTAAAACCCACGTTTTCTCTCCCATCCTGCATCTCTCCCGTTCCTCCCCCCCTCCCCTCCCCTCCCCTCCCCGCTCCCTTCCCCCCCTTCCCATACCCCTCGCTTTTTCCCCCTCTTCAGCTTATCCTTAATCCCCGCGTCTCTGCTCCATCCTCACCATAGCTCCACTCAATGGAGGGCAATCGCGCATGGCGCGCACATGCGAGCCAGGACCCCAGCTTCGCATGGCTGCTCGCACATGCCACTCCAGCAAGCCTACTGCTCTTGTGACGTGGCTTCGGATGGGCGTGCATGACGAATGGGGTGAGTGCAAGTGAGTGTGGCATTGACGATGCTGTGGAAAGGCTGGGTGTTGCCAGAGTGAGAGTGGTGAGGGCTGGGTATGCGTGAGAGAGAGAGAGGCAGAGAGGAGTCCCTGTGGGGTAGGGGCGTGTGAGGGAGGCACTCAAGGGAACGTGAAGGGGGAATGAAGGGGGATGCAGGGGGATGAAGGGGGATGAAGGGGGATGAAGGGGGATTAAGGGGGATGAAGGGGGATGAAAGGGGGAAGGGGTGGATCGGTGGTGAAAAAGGGGGGGATGCTTCCTCGAACACTTTACGCTAAAAAAAGAGTTCGAGGCGAACCGTACAGGTGTTCGTTTCTTTGCTCAACCCTTCCCTACGGAACTATCTCTCCCCCACATCCTCTGCACCGCATCTACCCCACTGCACAACCAAAAGTCCACAGCCACCTCTGCCCCACTGCACGGGAATTGCCCCCTCACATCACAGCAGCACAGCCGCACTGCTCACCCAGTGCGGGCCAAGGCACCATTGCCTCCTTTCCCCTCCAACCCCTTCCCCCCCCCTCCCAGGCTGGACGCAGGACGCCCTGAGCATCTTCTGCAACATGGGGTTCCTGCTCCCCACCTGCTGCTCCCATGCCAACGTCTGCCACATGGGGTTCCTGCCACTATGGTGGCGCCTCACTGTTCTCACCCAGGCGCTGTACCCTCCCTCCCCATACCCTTTCCCTTCTTCCACCTTCTAGCCAGCCCCCCAGCGCTGCACCTGTTGCTCCTATTCTGACGTCTAACCCGCGGACTTGCGGCCTTATGGTGTGGCCGCACTGCTCTCACCCACGCGCTGCCCCTTCCTTTTACCCTCCCACCTCCTCCAACCCTTCCCCTGTCTTTCCACCAGCTCTGCACCGCAACTGTTTCTCCTGGACTGGTTCTTGACTCGAAATTCCCGCCCCTGTACAACCAGGCAGGCAGAGGCTGCTGACGTGGCGGAGGTGGGCAAGACAAGGGGTACTGGTGGCGCCAGCGGCGTTGGCGGCAGCAGTGGCAGCGCCGGGGAGCATGGGGGGGAGGACGGGAAGGGGGGCGAAGGGCCGGTGAAGGGAGGCTGCTGATGGGGCTGGCTGGCAGTTGACAAGCTCGAATGAAGTCGCCAAGGTGAGACGCCCTGAGGGGTGGAGATGCGTGCGAGATTCACTTGGAAGCAAAGGGGGGGAGAAAGGGGGTTGAAGGAAAGGGTGGTGAAGAAAAGGGGGGTTGAAGGAAGGGCGGGTGAAGGAAGGGGAGTTGAAGGAAGGGCGGGTGAAGGAAGGGGAGTTGAAGGAAGGGCGGGTGAAGGAAGGGGAGTTGAAGGAAAGGCGGGTGAAGGAAGTGAGGAGAGGGGGGGTGAAGTTGATGCATGTGAGAGGCCGTGGGCAGTCACTGTGGGGCAGGGATGATGTGTGTTAGAGTCACTCCAAGGACTGGCAGGGGCCGCCCAAGGCAGGGCGGCTGGTGGAGCTGGCGGCGGCTATAGAGGACGCGTTGGATCTCCGAGGGGAGTTTAAGAGGATGAGGATGCTCCACTCCACACCACCCTGCAACGCTCCCTTCCCACCCTCCCCTGCACAATTCCCGCTTCCCACCCTCACCTCATCCCTGACCCATCCAGCTCTGCTTCGCTCCTGCTTGCTGTTACCGTGCCCCCTCGCACCCACTCGCACAGCCATACAAGCACCATCTCAGGACCATATCAAACCTATCCCCTCTTGTTACGCTTACGCACTCCCCTTTCGCTTGCCCCTTCCCCCTCCCTTGTCGATCCCCCCCCAACCCTTACCCCTCCCTTTACTTGTATTGTAACCCCTCCCTCCCCCCTTACCTCCTCCCCATCCCCTTACCCGCCCCCCTCCCCCAACTCGCTTCCTTTCCCCCTTACCCATTCCCGCCCTCGTTATCCCCTCCCTTTACCCCCTTCCTCTTCCCCATTCTGCTTCTCATTCCGCCTCCCAACCCCTTCCCCTACCCCTCCCAACCCCTCCGCACTCCTCCCTTGATCCCAATCGTCTACAGCGACTCCAGGCTCTTTCATGCTCCGACTTGTGACTCGTCCCCGTCGAATCTACATGGGCCGATTGTAATGGCTGGGCCTGCAAAGTGCGTGCGCAGGCCTCACCTCGCAGGCATCACCACAGGTGTCAAGCCGGACAATGACCTCGCCTCGCCTCACCTTGCCTCGCCGCTGCCGGAAGTGTAATGATTGCAGAACTCGTTATGCGCCTGTGTCTCGTACAACCCCACTTGTCGTCCGCAATAACGGGACACAGGCGTAAACCCTCATTCTATCCTTCCCACAATGGCGTCACCCCCTTCCCTCCTTCCCTGCTCTCTCAAATGGTCCTTATATTGATTCAGACGTGAACAGGTCAAGTATCGAAAGAGCAAGGTAAGTCAATCTCTGCTATCCTCTGTATACCTCTATCCTCTGTATACCTCTATCCTCTGTATACCTCTATCCTCTGTATACCTCTATCCTCTGTATACCTCTATCCTCTGTATACCTCTATCCTCTGTATACCTCTATCCTCTGTATACCTCTATCCTCTGTATACCTCTATCCTCTGTATACCTCTATCCTCTGTATACCTCTATCCTCTGTATACCTCTATCCTCTGTATACCTCTATCCTTTGTATACCTCTATCCTCTAAACTGGTCTCTCCCTCTCAGACCCCCTCACCCCCCACTCCCCCTTTCAACTCCCTCCCTCAACCCCTCCCCCGCTCACTCCCTCCTAGCTGGCTTCATTTCATTCTCTCTTGAGGATTATCACGCTGCTCCGTTTCCCACGGATTCCCGCCACTACGGCACAAGCACACTGTTCACGAGCACACTGTTCACGAGCACACTGTTCACGAGCACACTGTTCACGGGCAACCTGTGGCCTTGTGGGCTGCTGAGTGCACTCCGTGCCAAGATAATCTCTCTTCAACACACCTTACTGCTGATGGTCACGGGTACTGTTCTTGCCGGCTGGGTGAAGAAGGTGCGTCGGTGGTGCAAGGGGCTCATCGTGCGTCACCATACTGGGTCAGTGGAAGGTCACTCTTAGCTCACTCTCGGATCATTATTGTCCCCCCCCCTTACCCTTACACTTTCCATCCCCGTCCCTTTCTCCACTCCCATCCACTTCTCCATCCCCTCCTCCATCCCCTTCTCCACAAACGTCCCCTTCCCCATCCCCATCCTGATTGCCATCCCCCACATCCTGCAGCCAGCAGCAGCTCCAATCCGCCCTGCTCTCTCCCTCTCTCCTTCCGGCCACCCTTCCCCCCAATTACCCACCAGGTGTGCATGGTCCAGCCAGTAGCATCCGTTCCCTGCCGCCTCTACACTCACAGACCCATCAACAATCACTTATCTCCACAGTGAGGTTAGTAGTGCCTTGTACTGAACCTGCCTCTACCAAATCAAGTCGGTGCTCTCATTTGTCTCCTTTGGCGCCACCCCTGCCATTCGCACCCCACTGTCTCTTGTGTCAACCATTTAATGTGGAGGAGACAGTCCCTTGATCGCATCATCCCATCACCCCATTATCCCACTACCCCATTCCCTGTCTATTGTGTCACCCTGTTGACCCATCGGCCGATCTGTCCACTACGTCCATCTAGAGAATATCTGCCTAGTGCCAGTGGTCTAGTGGTACATGCAGCTTTCAGAGACCGAGTGGCGCATTGCAGCGGCTATCCGCTTAGGCCTTCCTCTTCCTCACCTTTCATCTTCACTCACCTGCACCTGCAACTCCCCGTTCACCGATCCTTCCATCCATTCTCATGTCCTTCGCTGCCCTAGCAACAACGAGCCTACTAAGGTGCACGACGCAATCAAACGAGAAGTTCATCGCATTGCCTTGGAGCTTGGGTTCTCTGCGCAGATGGAAGACCAGCATCTCCTGCCTGGCCGCCGCACAGACATCACGTGCCGCGACATTAGCTCTGGTACCACCTGGGCCTTGGATGTTTCTGTTGCTGATCCACAAAAGGGATTTCCGCACTCCAACGCAGCTACGGTGATTGGTTCAGCAGCAGCCACTCGTGACAGTGAGAAGACCACCCACTATGCTGCAGCACTTCGTGACCGTCCAGACGTCAAACTGTTTCCCCTTGTCATCGAAACCTTCGGTTGCTTCGGCTCATCGTTCAACAATTTCCTTCGCCAATGCAGCCGCAAAGGGGCTTCACAATGTCAGAACATTATAGCTCATGCATATTGTGTAGGCTATAGTGGGGCAGCCCATAAGGGGTACAACCCAATTAGGGTTATTACTTGTACCCAATTCATTCATAGTTCATTCATTCCTTGTTTCTTCTCATGGTATCGAGCAGGCTCCCCCGTGGGAACTGTTCCTAGGGCCCACCGTTTTTTTTTTCCTGCTCGGAGCGCACTCAGCCCCTGCCCGAGTCGCGCTCCCCTCTCTCGCGCCGCCCTAGCGGCCCCTTCGCGCCGCCCTCGCGGCCCCTTCGAGCCGCCCTCGCGGCTCTATCCGCCGCCCTTCGCGGCCCCTACTCCGCCGCCCTCGCGGCCCCGATCCGCCGCCCTCGCGGCCCCGATCCGCCGCCCTCGCGGCCCCGCTCCGCCGCCCTCGCGGCCCCGATCCGCCGCCCTTCGCGGCCCCGATCCGCCGCCCTCGCGGCCCCTACTCCGCCGCCCTCGCGGCCCCGATCCGCCGCCCTCGCGGCCCCGATCCGCCGCCCTCGCGGCCCCTACTCCGCCGCCCTCGCGGCCCCTACTCTGCCGCCCTCGCGGCCCCGATCCGCCGCCCTCGCGGCCCCGATCCGCCGCCCTAGCGGCCCCGGCCCCTGCTCCTACGGCCCCGGCGCCTGCTCCTACGGCCCCCGCGCCTACTCCTACGAGCAGCCCACCCGCCGAGCCGCCCAGCAACCGAGCAGCCCAGCCGCTGAGCCGCCGAGCCGCCCAGCAACCGAGCCGCCCAGCCGCCGAGCAGCCCAGCAGCCGAGCCGCCCAGCAGCCGAGCCGCCCAGCAGCCGAGCCGCCCAGCCGCCGATACGCCCAGCAGCCGAGCCGCCCAGCAGCCGAGCCGCCCAGCCGCCGAGCCGCCCAGCAGCCGAGCCGCCGAGCCGCCCAGCAGCCGAGCCGCCCAGCCGTCGAGTCGCCGAGCCGCCCTGCAGCCGAGCCGCCCGAGCCGCCCTGTCCGGTAAGAGCAGCGCCTCTCTCACAGCACTGCCCTCACCCTACTGTTTGCAATGCTAGTCTACTGCTGTCATGGCTACCCCTAGTGTCCTCGCTTTTGACGCTGAGGGTCGGGCCATTGACTTTGACGTCTGGATAGATGACCTGCAGCTTTTCTTACAGTGCGACAGAGCAGACGGCCTCTCCCTCTTTGACCTCACTTCTGGTGCCTCTCCTGCCCCCGCTGCTGATGCTGACGCCACTGTTCGCTCACAGTGGGCCACGCGCGATGCTGCTGCACGTCTTGCTGTGCGTCGCCACCTACCTACCTCTGAGCGTGCGCACTTTAGCCAGTACAAGAGTGCTCAGACCTTGTACGACGCTGTAGTTGCACGCTACTCCTCCCCTGCCACTGCTGCACTGAGCCGCCTCATGCTACCGTACCTCTTCCCTGACCTTGCTGCCTTTCCCACAGTCGCTAACCTCATTACGCACCTCCGCACTAGTGACACTCGCTACCGCGCTGCGCTTCCTGCTGAGTTCTGCGCCAAGAACCCCCCCCCCATGTACATCACCCTCTACTACATAGTCACCCGTCTCCCTGACTCCCTTCGCGTAGTCAGGGACCACTTCCTCTCGGTTTGTCCCACCACTCTCACCGTTGACCTCCTCGAGAAGGCCCTCCTAGCAGCAGAAAAGAGCATAGTCGCTGTAGGAGCCTCTCGTGGTGACCCTCGCACCCCCATCTTTGAGGGGTGTTCCCCCTCCCCTCTTTTGCCCTCTGTTGCCTCTGCTGCTGCGGCCGACCTCGCTGGTTTGGAGTCGGTTGGGGCAGCGTCTACCCCTAGCGGGAGACGCCGCCCTGGCAGGGGCAAGGGGGGCAGGGGCGCTGGAGGAGCTAGCGGGGGCGGTGGAGGCGGCGGTGGAGGCGGTGGAGGAGGTGGGGGTGGCGGTGGGGGTGGTGGCGGGGGTGGAGGTGTAGGTGGCGGCAGTGGAGGCGCAGGCGGCAGCGGCGGTGGCGGAGGGAGCGGAGGTGGCGGTGGTGGAGGAGGAGGCGGCGGAGGAGGTGGAGCTGGTCGGGGTGGCGCTGCGCAGAGGGTCAGCTCCGGTGGTGGTCAGCGCCAGCAGCAGCAGCAGCAGCAGCAGCAGCAGCGCACTCGTGACGTCCCCTCCCCTCAGCAGCTCCGTGAGTGGTACACTGCACGCCAGAGGGGTGGGAGTACTGGTCCGTGCACCTACGTCCTGCGCACCGGCGACCGCGCGGGTGAGCAGTGTGGGGGTGCGCACTCCACCCAGCGCTGCTTTGGCCGCCTGACGGACGCTTGGCGTCACCAGTTCCCTGAGGCCACTGAGATCCCCCGCTGGGGTGAGCTGTCTAGGGCGGGTGTCGCTGTCTTTGACCTTGACTTTGATGCTATTCTTGCTGCCATGTACACTGTGACTATTAGTGATGAGGGTGACTGTTACCGGTGTTTTCCGCCCGACCCGGGCATTGAGACTGCTGCTCTAGGTACTGGTGAGGCTGCTGCTCTAGGTGCTAGCGAGGCTGCTGCTCTAGGTGCGTCTGCTCCCTCAGGTACTGGTGAGTCTGCTCTCTCAGGTTCTGCGTCGGCTTCGGCCTCCCACACCTTTACCCTTGACTCGGGGGCTTCTCGCTCCTTCTTTCGAGACCGCACCACACTCACGCCGCTTGGCCGGCCAGTTGCGGTCTCTCTGGCAGACCCCTCTGGGGGTCCTGTCCTTGCTCACTTCTCCACTGTCCTCCCGTGTCCGGCGGCCCCCTCTGGCACCCTGTCTGGTCTTTACCTCCCCTCGTTCTCTACGAACTTGGTGAGTGGTGCTGACCTACAGGATGCGGGGGTTCACCAGTTCACTCCTGCGAGTCAGCGGGTGACCCACTGCACGGACGCTCGGACAGGCCGACACCTGGCCACGTTTACACGTCGGCCGGGGTCGAGCCTGTACACACTGACCACTGCGTCTCCCCCGGTCCCTGCGTCTGGTCAGGTAGCTGCGTCGGGTCAGGTGTTTGCTGCAGCGTCCAGGTCTGGTCCTGAGTCTGCCCCCTGCTCGTGTCGCCTCCTGTCCCACGAGACTCTCCTCTGGCACCACCGCCTTGGTCACCCCTCCCTGCTTCGTCTCCGGAGCATGGCCTCCCGTGTCCTTGTCTCTGGTCTTCCCCGGTCCCTCCCTCCACTTCCTCCGGGGCCTGGCCCTACCTGCGTCCCCTGTGTCGAGGGACGACAGCGGGCTACCCCTCACTCCTCCCAGTTTCCTCCGACAGAGGCCCCGCTGCAGACGCTTCACATGGACGTGTGGGGCCCGGCCCGCGTCCGTGGACAGGGTCACGAGCGCTACTTCCTGCTGGTGGTTGACGACTACTCGCGTTACACCACAGTCTTCCCCTTGCGCAGCAAGGGTGATGTCACTGAGGTGTTGATCGATTAGATCCGCGCAGCTCGTCTCCAGCTCAGGCGGAGCTTCGGCTCGGACTTTCCTGTTCTGCGTCTGCACTCTGACAGAGGCGGAGAGTTCTCCTCTGGCCTTCTGCGAGCCTACTGTCGTGCACGAGGCATCCGCCAGACCTTCACGCTTCCGGACTCTCCACAGCAAAATGGGATTGCTGAGCGCCGCATTGGCATGGTCATGGACGTCGCCCGTACGTCCATGATGCATGCGGCTGCCCCTCATTTTCTGTGGCCGTTTGCGGTTCGGTACGCGGCGCATCAGATCAACCTTCAGCCCAGGGTCTCCATGCCGGAGACCTCCCCAGCCTTGCTGTGGACGGGGAAGGTTGGCGATGCGTCTGCGTTCCGTGTCTAGGGATCTCGGGCGTTTGTCCGCGACTTGTCTGCGGACAAGCTGTCCCCTCGTGCTGCTCCTTGCGTCTTCCTGGGTTTCCCCCCTGACGCCTCAGGGTGGCAGTTCTACCACCCCACCTCTCGCCGTGTTCTGTCCTCCCAGGACGTCACGTTCGACGAGTCGGTCCCCTACTACCGCCTCTTCCCCTACCGCACTCCGTCCCTCCCCCCGCCACCGCTCTTCCTGGTACCAGGTCCCCCCCCGGTAGACCCCCTCCCCCCTCAGGGTCCTGCCCCTTCAGGTGTGTCCCAGGTAGACGCTGTTGAGCCTGTCGAGGTCGCTGGTGACTCTGGTGCTGCTGAGGGTGCTGAGCCTGGGAGTGCTGACTCTGGGGGTGCTGAGCGTGTGGGTGCTACGCCTAGGGGTGCTGAGCCTGAGGGT